GAGGGCGAAAAACCGAAAATTTCGCCCTTGTATCGAAAACTGCTATTATGATAGAACAAGTTGCAAGTGCACTGACATTTTCTGTCAAACACAAATCCGCCGTCAATCAGTCACTCAGAAATTCTCGAATTTATCTACCGATGGGGGAGCTCAGAAAGGTAAACAAATACTCGTACCGACAGTGACCATGACAAATCAAATCTATTCCTGGGTTTCAGTCATTTATTGTCTCTATTTATTAATCAAAATACGTTTCGGTGTATTTTTCCACCATCATCAATTGAATTTCCATGTTCCTAAGAGAACGGTCAGAAGTCAATCTATATTTTACTTGGCAACTCATAACACCAATTACAGTCACTTTATGATTATCGACAGAGTATGCAGGACTGCTAACAATTTAGATTTGTCATTTTTTAATATTTCTTTGGCAACATTTAAGTCCGCACTAAAGCTGAAGGTGCCCATGTAATTTATTTATTGATTATTTATCTGTTATTGTTATATGTTAATTTTTATTGTATTTTAATATTTTTATACGCATTGTATAATTCGCGATGGAAGATTTCCGTTTAATACATTTGAATTTGAATTATATTAAACAATATCTCCGGAATCAAAGCCATTCAGGTGAATGGGCCAAGTGAATGAGCATACCAATGGCTAGAGTGGGTCAATGATCAAAGAAAATTTGCTCATTGGATAGTGATTTCGAGATTTTAGGAAAGTTTGAAGCTTCACTCCTCTATAAGAGCTTGTACACAGTCACAAAAAAAAAATGTTTGGAAGACAAATTAATCGTGTTTGTTAAATACCTTTTTTATGGTACATTTTCCAAAACCAAGTTTTAATGTTTTCTTAGTTTTGCCTACAATTTTGCGCGAATTTTACATTTTTATTTTTTTGCATGCAAAAAATGCATGCCAAGGCTTAAAGCAGCAACAACGCTACACATAAAAACTGATGATGGTCGAAAAATACACCGAAACGTATTTTGATTAATAAATAGAGACAATAAATGACTGAAACGCAGGAATAGATTTGATTTGGAATTGAAACACAGTCAGGAAAGTATATACAGTGACCATGACCAAATGTAAGCCAAATAAATGTCAAAAATTACTCGTTAAGTCTGGTTAATACTTTAGCCGCCTTTCGGCGTTTGGACTTTTGAAATTGCGAGTTTGCCAACTGAAAATATGAGCTGCCAGAGTTTGATCCGCTTTAATTTAATCGACATTCTGAGCCAAAACATTCAATTCAGTCATAGTAGAAGATTTCCCTTCCATTTGCCATCTGGACCGGGCGCGAGTTGCTCATAATGGGCGCACAATTGCACGCGCCCAATTTCCTGAACTTGTTCACTTGTCGGCTGGAGATCAGCAACGGTTCCGGTTGTACGATCCATTTCACGCCTTCAGTGCACGGCGGAAAGGTCAGCGATCCCTCATAGTAGAAGTAGTTTTTCGAAAAAAGCGGCGTGAGCAGCCTTAAGGGAAATGGGCAGAGCAGAGCGCAGCTCATCGGAAACTTCAAGCTCTTCAGTGCTTGAATGATCGGCTCCAAGTAGGGATTGTCGATGGGCGTGACCATGAAAACGTAGCTGAGCATCAGCAAGTCCCCGGACAGAGCGGCGTCCAGAAGGTCGCACTTTGGGTTGTCGCCGTTCCGCATAAAGGCCACCTGCATCTCCACTGCATATCGCTTGGTGTCCACCATGTGCTCGGATCCTTCGTGGTTGTCCGGGCCCCATCTGAAGCGGACATTCAGAAAATTGTACACCTCTTGCTCCAGCGGCCCTCCTGAGATGCTCGGGCGCATCAAGCCGCTCCACTTGGCATAGAGAACCGCATTCAACCCGCTGTTGTACATCTTCATCTCGTATGGCGTGTGATGGAACTGCTCGGAGAACTTCAGCGGGTGCAGCTCAGATGGCACCGCGATTGCACATGGGGTGAGCAGGTTGATCGGCGACTGTTTATGACCTTTGGCCGCCTCAAAGAGGTTCTTCCATAGCGAGGGGCCGTTGTGGTTGTCGTAGCCGTAGCTGATCAGTTGCTTGTTGCCGTAGCTGCGATAGCTGCCCATTTTGCTGAACATGTCGTTGATGTAGAGGGCGCCAATCACGCACACTGCCACCACCACGTAGTAGTAGAGGCTCACTTGGTCCGGCACGCAGGACGAAAAAAAATCCATGACGGGAATTTTGCGGTTTTATAACTGTCACTAATGTCATTTGGTGTCAACGCTAAATGACATGTACGTCGACAGACAAGGACAGCAATGAAACCTATTGATTTGTTGGCCTCGTTTTGATCAATGATGTCAATAGAACCATTCATCTTTCCAGTGCGGAGGACGGTGAGATGATGCGAAAACAATCGGGATCAGGGGCGGCCGCGATAAGGGGAGCAATTAAGCAGGTCGATCCAAAATGGCGGCCGGAAGCGGTGCATCAATCACTTCGCACACGTCAATTAGAGACCGGAAACGCGTCACTATCAATTTGAACCGGGCTGCGCCTTCCCAATATCGGCTCGTTTGATCTTCGGCTGTTTTTTCCACAAATTTCGAAAACGTTTGTTCTTCTTCAGCGAGGAGGGGGGCTGGTCCAGAGCGGCAAAAGTTGCGATTAACAAACCGGCTCGAAGGCAAAGACACGGGGAGGAAATCGCAACCCCGTCCCGGATTTCACAACCCTAAGATGGCAATCCGGGGGTTGATTCCGGGGTCGTCATGGCAACACCCGCAAGAATCTTATTGGACCCGGATCGCGGCCTGTCTCTGTCTCTTTGCAGCGTCGCCATGCCACAACCGTGGGCTAAARTTGAACCGCGCTTGATGAGCCGTAGTGGTAATTTGATTAAAATATTMYAYAACTCGGCTGGATTAAGGGACATTTTCGCATAACACGTTGCTTTTTAATTCGGATTTCAGACTGGAAAATTCCAAGTTTCTTACGAACAAGGGAARCTAGTTTTCACTAGCTGAAGRTTTCAGCTGCCTGACAATGTCTTCTGTTTGTGCATGTGGGGGCTCAAATTGAAGAAATTTTTCCTTTYGGAGCTCAGGAACATTGCTCCGAAAGGCCAAAATCGCCAGTGGCTCGCTTATTATTTATGTTATGTCCAGGGGCGTGGTAAGAAATGAGCGAAGGTCTTTGGCTTCRAAAAAAGTGAAAAAAATTGAACACTAGATTTAGGAGATTTTTCAAAAATCTTTTAYAGGACGAACTTGAAAATGTTGCCTTGAGCCATGCCGAATCAGCTCAATAAGATGCTTTGTTTGGGAGAAAAAAATAAAAATGTAAAATTCGCGCAAAATTGTAGGCAAAACTAAGAAAACAYTAAAACTTGGTTTTGGAAAATGTACCATAAAAAAGTTATTTAACAAACGCGATTAATTTGTCTTCCAAAAATTATTTTTTTTGTGACTGTGTACAAGCTCTTATAGAGGAGTGAAGCTTCAAACTTTCCTAAAATCTCGAAATCACTCTCCAATGAGCAAATTTTCTTTGATCATTGACCCACTTTAGCCATTGGTATGCTCACAATTGGCCCATTCACCTGAATGGCTTTGATTCCGGAGATATTGTTTAATATAATTCAAATTCAAATTTATTAAACGGAAAAAATCCCTGGCGAATTA